GAGATAGCATAGATTATGCTGGACCAGAAAGTAACATACTAGGGAATTGTATGCTGTGTGTAAAGAGAGACCAGAAAGTAGGCCAGGAGGTGTGAAAGTGGAGAGGGGGTACAGATTTTTAAAGGTTGGAATGCTGTAATTTGTGCAAAAAATCTCTACCTTCAAGAGATGGGGTAGGGGAAAGCAATTTAATAACTTCTTACYAAAGTTCTCTTTTGTATTAAACAGTTGCTTGGTAAGATTTTCTCAAACCTGTCCTCTCTCCTGTTCCAGGGAGAAAGCACTTCTTCCTTCAAGAAGAGCTGAACTGCAGAGTACAAGCTAAAAACAGTTAGTGGCTGATTTGGCTTCCTTTGGTTGTAAGAGATAGAAAATGTTGATTTTATACACTTGTTCTAGGCTTAATGTGACTTTTATACATTTTCCTTTTTAGAAGATATGTGATTAATACTCAAAATGCTTAGGTGAAAATCTGTRCTATTACTGAAAATAGGCAGAAAATACATGAGAAAATGGCAATAAAAGGTAGGGGKTTTTTTAGCATTTTTAAATGACATTGTCTCTGGCATGTTTTTTCACAGTATACTAAAACTTATTTAGACTTACATTTATTATGGTAGAAYATTTTGCTAGGTTACTGTGTTGACTAATGAAAACTGGCACAGCCTGAAGTCTCAAGAGCCTGGGGCTCTACCTCCTTCTGGAGTACAAGGAAATAAGTGACTTCCTCTTCTCACCAGCCTGCTATACGGCTAGTACAGAACTCACTAGAAAAGTGTTAGCCAATTCTTTCGGTTGGTAGCCTCCCTTGGGCAAACAGCAGGAAGCTGCTGGAAGTCCTGCTAGGTTGAATGCTGCTGTCCAGCAATGTGTTAAGAAAGCCTTCTTGACATCAAGGTTTGCAGACATCTCTTCAACATCAAGCACAAAAACGAGAGTTCAGGGATGCCTCCACTTCAYCCTTCACTAGCTAATGCATTTGCTGCTCAGGGAGCTGTGGATATCCTACCTCCTACCCTGATAAGTTTCTGGTAAATTGTTTTTTGTTAAATTTCTCTCTGAGATCAGGATTACAAGATCCCAAGTATGCTGTATACTGGGGAGCACTGTATGGACAGCATGATAAATCAGCTTTCTGAACACAACCAACTGATATGAGCCATATATACTAGAGCAGAGCAGGCCTCAYGGAAGCTGTTCCCCGTGATCCACACTCTATGCAAGAGCATGGTTACCTCACCAGCAGATTGGCACAAGAGACCACCACCACCTCCCATGCTGAAACACTTTGGGACATGCAGACACTCACGATGGGTTTCAGACAGTCTGTGCTGCAGAAGTCACTGGTTTTACCAAACAGTAACAAGCAGTACCATATGCTGTTCTTCTTCCTCATGGAATTCTGGAAATTTGCCGCAGACCATCAATATTTTCATGATACAGCAACGTCTTTCCCAAGATACTGCATGCCCTTTCTCCAAATGTCATGCTTCTCCATTTTGTTTGAATTCTAACACGGCTTAGYATCCTAGGATTGTGGTAGGAGTTCTAGCACGATAGAAGCCACTGAGCTATCCAGCAGGACAATGTGAAGGAAGGATTTCGGATGAAAATARGGAAAAGATCCCACACTGGGAATTGGATCTTCCACCTTAGAATAAAAAAATATTCCATTTAAGATAAGCAGAAGACCCAAACACAGTATTTGGAGGAACCTTGCAACTTGATGCCTTAATAATGCTGACAAACCACAGGAGTTTCTCTATTTTAGCCCCAAAAGTATTAAGACTAGATGAAGCACAGGTTATTTTAGAAAATATTGATACTGAAATAGCAACTCTGAGGAGCATGAGTGCATAGATCACATGGTGACTTCTGAGGAGCTTCAGCACCTGCTGTTTATAGTCTGATGTCACAGAATCACAGAATCAATATGTCTGGAAAATACCTTTAAAATCATGGAGACCAATAAGCCCCTCAACACCGTCCCTGCTAAACCATGTTCCTAGGGGCTGCATTGACAGGCCAGGGACGGAGACTCCACCACTTCCTTGTGAGSTCTCTTCCAATGAATGCTTCAGCAGTCTTTCTGTGCAGAAATTCTCCCTGATATTTAACCTGAGCCTCCCCTGGTGCAACGTGAGGCCATTTCCCTCTTGTTCTGTCTGTAGTCACTCTAGAGAAGAGACCGACCCCCGTCTCAGTGCAAGCTCCTCTCAGGTGTGTGCAGAGCAGTCAGGTCTCCCCGGAGCCGCCTCCTCTCTGCACCAAAAGCCCCCCCGGCTCCCTGGGCTGCTCCTCACAGGGCCTGAGCTCCAGGCCCTGTCCCAGCTTCCCTGCCCCCCTGCCCCAGCTTCCCTGCCCTCCTCTGGAGCCGCTCCAGCACCTCCATGGCCTCCTTGCACGGAGGGGCCCAAACTGAGCCCAGGCTTCGAGGGGCGGCCTCGGCAGCGCCGAGCAGGGGGACGAGCCCTTTCCTGCTGCTGCCGGCCACGCTGCTCCCAACACCGGCAGGAGGCCCCTGCTCGGCCTTCCCGGCCGCCCGGGCTCCCTGCTGGCTGCCGGGCGGCCTCCCTGCTGGCTGCCGTGGAGCCGCCTGGCCCCCGAGCCCTCCCTGCGCTCAGCTCTGCGGCCGCCCTGCCCCGGGCCCGGGCGCTGCGCGGGGCTGCGGGGACCCACGYGCCGGGCCCGGCACGGGGCCCTGGGAACCTCGTGCAGTTGGCATCAGCCCTGGATCCAGCGCCTCCGGATCCCGCTGCAGAGCCTTCCTACCCTCAGGCAGATCAGGAATTCCTCATGGCTGGTGTCCCCTGCAGACTGGCTGAGGGTGCCCTCACTGCCCCCATCCAGGTCATTGATGAAGACATGGAAGAGGCAGGGTCGCCACCCTGGCCCCTGGGGAACACCGCGCCACGGGCACCAACTGGGCCTGACTCCATTCACCACCACCCGCTGGGCCCCGCCATGCAGCCAGTTCTTCAGCGAGCAAAGAGCAGCCCCGTCTAAGGCCTGAGCTGCCGCCTTCTCCACGAGAAGGCAGTGGGGACTTCAAAGGCATCGACTGCAGCTTGTCTATACGGAGAGCGTCCTTGTGGCTGCAGTCAGAGAGATGAGCACAAAGAAAATTAGAATTAGCCTACACCTTGAAGGAAAAGTGTTTCCCTCCTACTGCAAACAGCCATAAAGTCACTTTGAGGAGAATATCCTGTGAGGCACTCTGGGCTCTGAGCTTTTACCACCCAGGCCAGTGCTCTGAGGTTTACCAGAACACCCTCTTGCTGCTGCTGGCTTAGGACCTGCCATCCGGACACAGGTTTGAAACAAGTCCTCTGCTTCTGCTCGGCCGGTGAGCAGCAGTTTCTCCTGGGACTGATGCAGACCCTCCTTCCAAACCATGTCTCACTCCTCCCAGCACAGGGCTGGCTGGCTAAGGCAATTGCCTGGAATATCACGCACTGCAGAAAACACCAAGTTTTCCAAAATCACAGGAAAAAGAATACCAAGAAGTCATTTATTTTCTCATTTTAATGTTTTTTTCTGTATCTGTCTAAAAGATTTTTCGAAGAACACAGASTGGTTCACTAACAGCAATTCCAGCGTACTGCTGGGGAAGCAGGTATTCCAGAATCACAGGTTAAGCCTGGATTCTGTCAAGTGCACRGAATGAATACCACAAACACGGATGAAGGGGCTAGGAAAACAGAACTGACTTACAAGAAATCTGTATTTCCTGAGACTCTGCCATTCTTTCTCTGATGGAATATTTGTGTCCTGCTCTCCACAATTGGGTGAATATAGGATGCCTGACTCTGGTTGGCACTGTCCCAACCAGCTCTGTGAAGTCTTCCAGTAATTCCAGAATTGGCATTATCATTACAGTGTAGCTCCTTCATGCATTTATTTGTGAACTGGATAATATTATCTAACAGACCACGGAACTGTGCTTCTAGGTTGTTCAGTTTTGCAATGTTTTACAAGTAAATGAGTTCTGCAATGTCATTGCTTTCATTAGTCAATAAAATGCAGGAAATTAAACAATATTGGGTTGTTTTCTCTGACTGCAATGGACATCCGAAGCTCTGGGCCCATGAGTCAGCTATCAAATTGCCTGGTTCTGTTTCCAAACTAATACCCAGTAATCAAGCCCAAACTGTTTGAAGATTCATGAAATGCTGCTTAGCTTGAGGATGGGGACTCCAAGGCCCCTTTTTACAAAACCTTGGGCTTGAGGCCAAAGGCATCATAGCGACCGCAGTGCCCTGAATGCCTTTCCTAAATCCACCCCACTTCCAGTCTCTGCCTTGCACATGCTTTAAGACCTGCCCTCTCCAGGACAGCTCCAGTTTAGTCCAAAATTGATCTTTGGAGCTTCCTCTGCTCCCAAATCTCCATAATGCTAACACCCTTCCTGATTCCAACCAGAAGTCTCTTCCCTCTGTAAGAACTAACTCTGAACTCTTCCCCCTCACTTCCATAGAAGAGTGGGGCTGCGGGATTTGAGTGAGCAGMAAAAATATTCTGCTGTATACTGTACAGGTGCATGCACTGCTCACCCAGGGARAAAGGAGCAGAATCATGCTCTTCCTTCACATCAGCCCAAGCCTTTGCTAGCTACAGGTAGCTCTATAGGGACTCCCCAAAGACGCGTGATTGAAAGGATTTACATAAAGGTGTTTCAAAAAGCATCTACACGTGTGAGGATCTGCTGTGCTGTTGATCCAAGAATTCAAATCCCGAGTGTACCTTTTCAGAGTGAGGCAAACGGAGGAACACCCTCAAAATGGCTGACAATCCAGCTGCTGCTGCTGCAGCCCAGCTCACGCTCTTCCCAAACCACAGCAGTGAGCAGCAGGGCTGGTGCGCTATGCACACCTGGCCCCGAGAACAATCGCAGGTCTCCTTACAGAAGCAATATTTCCTCCTGCACAACTTAGAGAATACAGCAGTTTGKCATGGCAAAAGGAACTGAATTCGTATGACAGAACATTGCAGTGTGCATAGTGGCCAGMAGCTACTATGAAGTCTGCTGTGACTCAAATTCAGTCATAGTTCACAGTTTACTCTAGTAATAACATCTCATTTGTGCTTTACTTTGCATGAGTTCAGCACCTGAAGGTTTTCCACTGAACAGGAAATAGGCACAGGCCTGCCAGGCCATTCTTCCCCTTTTCTCTTTACTTGACTAGATGTCTCACAGCAGTGAGTTATCACACGCTCCAGTCCTTCTCACTGCCCTTAACTTTTAAATTCAACCTGTGTATAAAAACAGGAAGGAGAAAAGACAGAGCTTAAGAAAGGAACAAGGGAAATAAGATCTCAAAGGACCTCTATTTCAACTGATGAATACCGAAAATAAATCACTACTGGAAATGTGCTTTGAATGACAGAAGTGTTGTTCCATTTATTTCAGATGAAAACGCTTGTGAACTGGATTAGTTTTAACAACCCCTTTTTTTTCCCCTCGGTCAGACAGGTTCAGAGAGATTGAGAGCAACAGCACGTGGCAGTTTGGAGGTAGCTGCATAACAAAGTAACTTGCTTACACTTCGTACAAAATAGAGATGGGCTTTTTCTGGACAGCACAAGAAATGCACCATCATAAGTCACCGCTTGCTGTGACTGGGTGCTTGCAGGTCACTACAAGGTCGGTTAAGCCACTGCCTGCAGGTGACCAGAGGCCCCCTGCAAGCCAGACTGGCATCTCCCCCCTTCTCCCAGCTAGGCTATCGTTCTCAAGTCAGATACGGTCAGATGAAAACATTTGGGTCCATTTAGCACGGGATGCCSTCGGCACCGCGATGAAGTGATGAACGGGGAAAAACAGCCACACTCCACGTTTTCATACACCGACTCCAGTCCGCGGCGCGTGCGTGCTCATATGCTGTCCAGCTTCTTCAGGATGAACGGGGCTGGGGAGAGGAAGAGAACAGCACCGAATGCGGCTCTGCCGGGAAGCGGCAGCGGGCGCCAGGCCCGGCCCCGGCCCCGGCCCCGGCCCCGGCCCGCGCTGCCCGCCGCGGCCGCGGCCGCACTCACTGATGCGCAGCAGCGCCACGTAGATGAGGAAGTTGCGCACGGAGGTGAGCACGTCCCGGCGCATCTTGCGCTTCAGCTCCTCCGGGTCCACCTTGGGCCCCAGCCCCTCGATGCGGAACATGTCGGCGCGACCGCCCTCTCCCTCGCGCCGCCGGCCCGCACCGCCCCCGCTTCCGGTGCCGCTCTTCCGCCCTTCCCGCTCCGCCCAGTACGGCTCCCGAGGAGGGACAATGTCGTTACGTGCGAGCATTCTCCAGCGTGCCCGCGGAGGGGCAATGCCTCGGGGCGGGGGCGCCTGCGCAGTAGCACTGGTGAAGCCGCTGCCCGCAGAAGGGCAGCGCCCGGGGGGGCGGGGAAGGCGCCTGCGCAGTAGCATTGGTGAAGGCGCTGCCCGCAGTGGGGCGGGGCGGGCGCTCGGGGMGCACCCGGCTCCCTGCCGCCGAGACGGGGCCGCAGCCGCTGCGGCGGCGCCTCTGCGCGCCCCGTCTGGTGCGGAATGACAGGATAACGACTTCTTTTTTTCTTTTTCCCTGGAAGCGGGGTGTGGAAGTTGATAACGTGCTGCGGGGTCACCCGTAGTGCTGTGGCCGGTGCCTTGGACCCCCTGTCCCAATGGAGAGCTGTCTGGAGCATGGGCCATCCCAGGGATGGCGGGCGGCAGCAGCCGCACGTTTGGGGCCGGCAGCGGGTACCAAACGGGCGCCGTTGGCGGGTTTCCGCTCCGCGCCATGGCCGAGGTGCTGGTGGCGGCGGCGCCTCGCTGTGCGGGCGGCTGCCCCCGCGGGGCCTTCCTGCAAGGGGCCCCTTGCGAAATCCGGGCTCGGACACCCGGAGCAGGCTCCGGGCACCCGGAGCAGCCTCTGGGCACGGGCACCCGGAGCAGGCTCCAGGAACGAACACCCGGAGCAGGCTGCGGGCACGGGCCATGTGCGCCGCCCGCTGTTACCCTCCTCCTCCTCCTGCGGCCAGACCCAGCACGGCCCCAGTGTCGGCCCTTTGCTGTGAGGTCGAACACCGTACCAGCGGAAAGCTGCTCGCGGACGGACTGTAATGCACCGAAACCGATCCAAGCCTGACTTTAACCTGTGGTCAGTGCATTGCCCGGCAGCAAAACCTTTTGCAATGGCTGTGCATGCTCATCAGAGAACATCTCAGCTCCTTCTGTTCAGGAGCCTCAGAAGAGCAATCAAAAACTTCTTAGAAAGCAAGTGAGCAGTAAGTCTGCCCTTGACAGAGAACAGTTCCGACATCAGCCCCTGCAGATGTCCGCAGTGATCTGGAAGAAGCTGTTTCCACATTGTGTCTCTGCGGAGAGGAATGTTGGGGAAAATGCACATTTCTCGGTACAGGAAAAGTTGGAGAGAGTTTCTTGCTAGAGAATTACTTTGCATTAAAATCAAAAGCCATTTAAGACAAAAAAACAGCAACAGCAAAAAAACACTTTTATTGGAGAGGCTTATGGAAAGCCAATGTGTCTTGGTAGTCTTGGTTCAGAAAGGAAATGCCAAACAACCGCAATTGGACCTTGATGTGATACCACCTGTCTGTTGTTTTCTCTTTATTCATGTTCTTCTATAAAATAAAAGGCATATTTCACCTCTGAAGTGCCCAGCTTTCTTTGGAATTCCCTTCCCGAGCATCGTGTTGGCGGATGTGGTGAATGATGCCCTTCTCTCTAGCCCCACTGCTGACCTGCAGGGCTTGTTCCAGTTTCAGCTCACCACTGACCACCACTGACCACTCACCACTGAGTGCTGCCTCACCTGAGCTGCCTGGCTGAGGATGGGCCTGAGGCAGGATAACGGGTGCTGGTGAATCCTGCACCTGGCTGTGCAGCAATGGGCTCAGAGCGGCGAGCACAGCCCTGTGGCACCCCACGGATTCCGCTTTTGAGCTCTCCCTGCAGCAGAGGGGCTGGAGCCGGCCAAGTCCTGCATTTCCTGCCCTTGGCAAGCGGCCGGCAGCGCTCTCTGAATCACTGCGCTGCTGCCAGGAACACCTCGGAGAGGGTGATTGCAAAGGCAGGAGGAGCCGGCGCTGCCCGGAGGCACAAGGAACCAGCCGGTGCCTCCTGGCTCCCCCCACCACCCCCACAGAAACGGGCACACAAGTCCGTGACGAGCTGAGCATCATTCATGGAAACTGATTTTGCTCCCTGCGGCTGCCCACGTCCTGAGGCGAAGCGGATTGCAGAGCAGCTGGCCGCACTGTACCAGCCACCAATGGGGCTAACTGCAGCGTGCGGCGGATGAGGAGGGAAGCGCTCCTGCCTCTCTGTGCTGCCTCAGGGACCCTCCTTTGCGAGCTGCAGCCACGCGGGGCCTTGTAAACCGCTTTTGTCCTTCACCCTGAGCCTTTCCCTGGCTTTGTGCAGCGCCTTCTCCTCCCATGTCCCAATGTGCAAACGAAAGGGCAGCCCCTCGTGGTTACAAAGATCAAGTGCTCTCCCCAGAGCTTTACAGAACACACAGGAGGAGGATGTAACTGAGCAGTCTAGATTAGCAGTGGGTATAAACCCGCTTCATCCTGCTGGCTTCTAAGAAGTCTACTTGTTTTACTTTTGGTGTCATTCTGAACGGTGAATTTCTCTGGCCCTGTTAGCAGAAATAGATTGGCAGATATCAGACCCATTCCTGAGAAGCAAGGAGTCATTCTCTACTTTTCAAAATCTTTCCAAAATGGCCCATCTATCCTGGTTTTTCTATATTTTAAAAAACATTTTTTTCACCAAGCCTGCCTTTGATCAAAAATAAAGTAGCACGGCTCTGAAGAGGGCACTAGTGCCTAACCTGGCACCTCCACGTGCAAAACCAAGGTCACTTGCAGCTTCTTTTTACAGCTTGAAGCTCTGTCTGTTGTGATGGCTCTGCAGAGGAGGGAGGAGTTGAAGACACTAYCTTTACGCTGCAGTGTAGAGAGGGTTAGTGGCAAATCCTCTGTCCGCTGCTGCCAGACTGATGGAACTGTGGCTTATCAGCAATGAAAACACCTTTGGCTGTTCCCAAGCCATGATTTTCCTTGTCCTGAGAGAGAAAGTGCTGAGAAAAATGTTATTTGACTAGTYGGGTTGGAAGCAACCCCAGTCAGCCCGTGGAGGTTAGACAGCTTGAAATTGCTCCTGAGATCTTTATCCAAGCATTTCACAGTGATGGCCAAGTTTCCAGGAGGTTTTATCACTTTTCTGTCAGTCCCCTCAGCTTGCTGGATCCAGTGCCAGTTATCCTGGGACGCAGAGGGACTCCCCAGACTCCAGGGAATACTTCATCTCTCCTTTCTTTCTCCAAATTAAAGAAAAAAAAACTTCACTCTTCACACTTCCTTAAGTTCAGGAAGAGCAGAGTGCAGCTCTGAAAATTAAGCACTGCCATTTGGGGCATTGCAGAAGCTGCTACCCTGATATCCTGTACTGATTTGTGTGGTCAGGCAATGAAACCACCCCTAAATGTTTGAAACTGAACTGCAGGCACCAGAGATCTCTGCAGAAGCCGTTGCGAAAAAGCAATGAAGGAGCCTCATGGCAAATCCTTCTGAGTTACCACCCAGCTGCGGTCTGAGACAGGCTGAGAGAGACCCATCAGGGAGCAGCACTGCCCAAAGGCCATGGCATGTGGCTGCACTCTGACCTACCCGAGCACGAGAGAGCCGAACAGAACTCCTGATTTCTTAAAATAATGCTAATACGATCACCTTTATGCTGAAAGGAAACAACAATAATAATTTCCAAAATTATTATTTTGGAATTCCAAAAAGAATTCCATTCCAAAAAAGAATTACAGTCCTAAATATGTATCATATTAGGCTATATATCTGCCTGTTTGTGGATATATATATGCACCTGTGTGGAGTTTGTAACAGAGCTTCAACTTACAGGGGAAATTATTTCTGGTGGCTTCAGATGTTATTTCTTTTGTACCATCTTTCCCCTTTTGTTTTTTAGGGCAGATACAAATTTGGTAGGTTTCTTGCTGAGCTCTCAGATAGTTCAAAACGTGTTAAATATTTAAGAAAAACAAAAAAAAGTTTGAAGGTCATATTGTCAACCATATAGTTCATTTCTCACATACTAGAACTTTTCAGCCTTACAGGCTCATTCATCCATTCTCTGCTAAGGGATCTAAATGATACTCCCTAAAAATAGCTTGCTGAAGGCTGCCTGCGCAGGGGGCTTTGGAGCTCCTCGGCACTGTCTCTTGGCACCATTTGCTGTCACCAATTGCAAGGGCAAGAGCTTCACGGACATGCTGTTCTCAAGCACACCCATGCGCTTGTACGGAGATACAAGCAGAGACACAYGCAGCAGAAGGTTGTGGGTCAGTGTGGTGCCTGACTGTAGGGCAGGTGTTATGGTGGGAGGGAGAGCTGACACATGCAGAAAGGGTGACACACACATATGATCTTKTCAGAGGAGAGACAGCTTCGTTTCCTTGGGAGGAGGCTGAGGGAGGCGGGCTGCTTTGGGCTCCAGGGCATTCATCACTGTGGTTCTGACACATTCATCACTCATATGGTTCTAACACATTTTTGACTTTGTCTCTGTGCTGTCACAGACATAATTTTCAGTGGTTCTTTATGGGTCACACCTCATCAGAAACTTCATCAGACTTTGGGGCAGCAGCAAAAAGCACGACCAACCCCACAGAGAGGAATGTAGGACAGAGCTGCTTGTGTCCCCTGAGAGGTACAGGGAGAACGTCGCTGCAGCTGAAATGGAGCTTTGGAGCCCATAACTGTCACTCAAGACGTGGATAAACAGATCATCCAGATAATCTATGTGAAATTTGAAGGTCTTTTCTCTTTCACAAAATCTTATTTACTCTTCTTCAGACAGCTCCCTAGCTCCCTGGACCCCGCAACTCCAGAGCTGCTCTGTGGGTCACAGAACATGGAGGTGATTTCACAAGATCAGGTCATGACAAAAATCAGCTCTTAGAGATGTGATGTTCTTGCATTCTTCAGAAGAATAGCTCAGCAGGCAAAGCGCATCCAGTTGGAAGACCTAGAGACAGAATAGTTCATAACTATCACCCTTCTTCTTTACTACCAGCTTTGACTTCTGTAGCCTAGAATTGAGCAAAACTTTCTGATTAAGCCTGTACCCACCTTTCCCAGATTATACAGGATACCAGCAGCTSTAGTCCGCAA